GGACTAGATAATCAAACGAGGTTTATGCAATTAGTCAGGCCGCATTCTGGTCAGCCAAAAGCCGCCTAGCAGCGAGCATAACAACGGGCTGATGCGTAGTACCGATACCTCTTAGATTTACACCATTCACATGACCAAACATTTTTGAGAACTGCCGTAGGCCACCAGCATCGCAAACACTCTCGTTACAAAGCCACATTAGTGACAGAGACGCAGATGCACACCAAGACGAACAAAATACCACTGATGCTCTACCCCCCCGCTAACTAGAACGGTCATGGCTGTAATGTTTACGGAAGCTCTTTAAAGTCTCAGTAATTATGAACTTTTCCGCAGAACAGTAAAAGTACTTTACTTGGGTATGCAAGACGAGAAAGGCTGGTGGAAAAGCCCATAAAACCCAAAAAGGCAGCGACGGTAAAAACTAAATGTAACGGTCGAGCTAGCCATACGTTCCTTGGCCAGACGGAATCTGTTCACAAGATGGGCCGCGACTTCGGCAGACACCTCGGCCGAATGCTAGAGCGAAAACGATGAGCATATCGGCAAACTAAATATACAAGCACTCACAAGCACTCACTTCATTCAAGAGGTGGTTTACCCTTTTATATAGTCCCCGTATTACCCTGCAATCATCTTTTCCGAAAGGCAATAGTGACTAATCACCGAGATTGTTCATCTACAAGGGATCGAAGAAGGAGGAATTGCCGTAGAAATTAGTCACCTGCGTCGACAAGGACGCTCTGTTTTCACGAAGTTAATGAACAAGCATGCTAAGATGCCACCTGAGAACACGGGTACGACTATCTTTGTTGTTCGAAATGAGATGAACAGTTTATTACGGCATTGGCACAGAGGTCTTTGTCAAAATCATTATCAGGCTATCCATTATTGAAAAAATTGAAGAAAGGCCACAGAAGACAGGTTCATATCACTATTCGTATGACGGCACATCGTACAAGCCATTGGTCGAAAGGTTACGTTGAACTCGACGCTGCTTTCGACATCGTTAATCATGAGGCTGTACACGAGTTAAACCGCGTCTAATTTGCAGAGCAACGAATACTAGGCCATGGGAATCACACAAAGGATATCAGCGTGCTAACGCAAACGTAGATTAACAGTGTTATAGGTAGACGAGGGTGCCTAGGTGGTATATTTATACAGAAAAATTGCAAGAGTAAGAGGAGGACTGCACTTTTTTTCACTGAGACAAGACACTGGTTGCGATTTATAAATGTCACTTCGAAAAGATAGTTCGTTAAAAGATTTGAAGGGCAAGGTACTGAAAATGAGAAAGTAGGGGAACGACATTGCTGAATAAACTGATGATATATGCTGTATATATGAGCCAAAGGCGGATGAAAAGGCTATTTTCAACTGTTGTCACCCCCAGAACAATTTTCAGAGCAAACTACACAGAATTTATCTCGAATAAAAAACGCACATTCAAATATAATGCAAGAAATGGTGCAAAGTCCTCTAAAAATAAAATCAGGGAACGCAAGTAAGTGTCTTGCAGCCCACACCATGCGTCTGATGTCTCTGCTAAAAACAACCACTAACACCTCAAAAAGTTAACGAGAAGACTTGCGAGAACGTGATTCGACAATGTGCTTCCAATGGGTTCTTGCTTGGCCCTATAATGAACAACACGTGAGCCTAGCTGAAATTACAGGAAGGCCAGATCAGGGCACGACAGACGATATTTCGACTGCCCACCTACCATAAATGTCACACACAAGGATGTGATGACAGGACTAGGAGGAGACACACAGCGCCAGCCACCTGTGGACAAGAAAAAGAGTTTTCGCCTTCAATAAGGAAGGACGAGGTAGACTCGAGGAACTGCGCCTTTGCATCACGCAGCGCAAAGTTGTCACTACAAACAATATATCACGCTTTTAAACTACGACGGTGCACTTGGAACGCTCCATACTGACAGTTAACGTGGCCCACCCAGGACAAAGTGTCCACAAAGATCTGTCGCAGGTCCAGTCAGTCCGAATCTAAGTCACATCTTCTTGGTTGTGCATTGTGCACAGATGGGGCATGTGGCACAAGTAAAATAGTCGTTTAGCTTTTCAGCTACTGCGCCTAATCCTGCCCTCGATCTCTGTTATTCGGTGTCAGAACCAATCCCAGGAAAGTAAGGGTAGAGAGAATGTCATAGGGTTTTGCGCGTCTATTATCAATAAAAACTAATTCACGCGTACGCCGCTGTTTCTGTGCCCAACCTGCTGTGAGTTACACGGCTGACATCGTCAGTAATGACAGTCCTCACACTTCTGCTATTCCGTCTGCCGTTAGAAGAGAGAGTAGGATCCTCCTATCCAGACGCGCTGTCTTGGGACGTATTGTGTAGAACATAAATACGGTTGATTAAGTCAGGCATGACCGGAGTCGCATTTTTACAGTTATTTTAGCATAAGAATGGTACAAACATTTACATCTCCTTCCAACGTACTAATTTGCGCATAGTATGAAACCGGTTTATGTGGACGGGTGAGAAATTTGCGCAAACCCCAAACAGGTAGACTTACCTAATTGAAATATTAATCATAGGCCTTAAAAGTGAGCAGCCATATCGTACTCGATACTAAGTAGACTACATGATATAATAAATGAATAGCCCTGGCAACAGACAAGATTGCTTAAATGTCGGGAAGCCTAAGCCCCGCAGACTCAGAGCAGGGGCAAACAAATTTTGGTTGGCTCATATGCTACCCTTCAATTGGCCAAGACGTGAGTCCCTTTAATGAGAATTCCTGCAATTTACAACACCAGAGTCTTCTCAGTCTACAAGGAGCCACAAGACAAGTTGGCGGGCATTTCTTCCTCAGGGGAATTCCAGCAGTTTGCAGCACCAAGTATTTAGCAGCTTGCCCCAATTTTAACCCTGAAACTTCTACGCAAGATGAAAAATATAACCCACGCAAAATTGACGTGCATGGCTTCCGAGGGCGCCAACCGTGTGACGAAATGCGCAATC